CAGGCATGGAAGAAAGCCCACGAGAACTGGGAGGGGAATGGCGGCCAAGCTGACATAGATGTGAATACAATTTTACATGCCAGTAGTGTCCTCACCACAAGTAGGGAATATTCACTGCTTAGTATTTCACCATTTTCCTTCGCTGTTTTCCACAAAATGAAAATTGAGTGTTAATAGAAAAAATTAGGTATGTAATTGCTCAGCCTTATGCTCAATCTTTCACTATAGTGTCCTGGCAGATAGAAATGTCTATTAATTGGAGAAATTAAAATCTAATGCCAGGGGTCCTTGTACTTCAGAATAGTTGTGTTCACCAAAACATCTGGAAATGATGCTCACAATGGCTTGAACACAGCACAAATCAAGCCAGTCCAGTACCTTGTACAGCCCAGAGGTTGCCAGTTCCCCCAGACTGTTGACCTGGAGATACACTTTGAGAACTACAACTCCTTCTCCTTACTAAGCTACAGGAACCTATATGCTTGCATATCTGGCAGTCCAAGACTGCTGTTTAGGAACAACAGGGCTTCCTCTCAGATCCTGGAAAAATTCTGTCTTCCCCAGCAGTTACAATTACAGCTGTGTGCCCAGACCAGCCTGGAGGCCAGCTAAGCACACAGGACTGATTCCCAGGGCTCAACACCCTTCTGGAGTAGAACAGGAAGAAGCAGTTATTCCACAAACTTGGTGCCATCTCCACAGCTCTTCCTTTGCTGTTAGCAGCAGCTGCCTGCCATAGGGGAAGCCCCTGTGGAGAATGACTGTTACCAAACTAGAGTCATACACGTAGAAGCAAAATCCAAGAACTCCAGCACTGAGATCTATAAACCCCTCTGTGCAGGCTTTTCCACATGAAGCTGGGTTTGGGGTTTTTTTTTTTTCCCCCCTAACCAGCCACATCTTAGGAGATTGACAAGTCTTGTTCTGTTTTCTGCTGTAACACAGGAACAATCCAACTACACCAGGCCAAAGCTTTGTTGGGTCTCTACAGCAGCCAGCACACCTGCAGCTACCAAGAAAGGTGCCTTAGCCAACCCCCGCGATGCCCCCACATGGCTGAGGTCTCCCCTGCAGCCGCAGAAGGCCCAGGGGGTATCACCAAAACTGCAGCTGACACAGCTGGGCTAACACACAAGTGCAGGGGATGGCCCACCCGTCACACATCCTCATTTTTGTTCCAAGGGGTGAGGCCTGCTTTAAATCATCGCTCCTACCTTACAGGAGCCTAGCAGAACAAACCGCAACCCCTCTTACACCAACAGAGTGCCTCGGGTCTCTGTCCCTCAGCCACACTGCCAGCACTCCTCCTGAAGGCTGCTCAACATCCAGTCACTCTGCCTCTAAATGGCACCTTATAACAAACTTACCTGCTTGTGCCCGACTTCCCCACCCTCACATGCACCCAAACACAACATGGCAGCACCTTCGCCTGTGAGGAGCAGGTAAGGAGCCTGGGGGAGCCAGCTTGTACTCCAGTTGGTTCCACGACCCATGGGGGACACAGAGCTATAGGCACAGGCACGCTCACCAGACCCCTTGGCTGGTGTCCCTTTCACTGCATGGAGACTGACACATATGGGCAGCAATTACGCCAGCTCCTCCAGAACCAACTACATTCCTCCTCTTTACATCTTCCGCAAAGACCCTGCCAAATCAAGGGATCTCCTTGGCAAACTCCTCTAGCCCTGGGCAAGCCATCTATTCACACACCTGGAAAAGAAAACACCAGCTCTGTGTGGTACTAAGGCTACACGTACATTGCAGACTTGTATTGCTGCACGGAGAGTTTCTAGTTTGTTCCCTATTCCCTTCCCTAGCTTTGAGTTTAATGACCACTCAACAGCCCTTTTTCATATAACTATTACAAGTCAATGACCTTTTCTGAATGAAAGCAGCTGCCCTTCACTTCACAGCCCTAGATCTCCCTGCAATTCTCTTTAGTCAGCTTTGGGTTTTACTGTCTCAATGATCTAGCAATAGTACCAGCAAACTATCACCTCATTTTCTAGTTAAGCATACTCAATGAACAACAGAGAATGCCACAGGACTCCACAGGTGACCTCCCCCTCTGATGTGAGAGCTATTTATTCCTTTTTCTTCCCCTCCTTCCCTTTAATCAGCTGTTCTCAAGAACCATTCTTCTCCCACAGCAGCTTAGCTGGTTTTTTTCAGAGCTTTTGGGAACAGACTTTGTTGCCACATACTCTGGGTGATCAAGATGTCATTCAAGAGCCAGATGTGCTGAAGCAGCTGTGCATTTTCTCCTTCAGAGCTCGCTCACCTGAGAGAGAAGGGGTTTACTTCTATCATGTCTAATCTGTGGCCCATTAATAGTATTCTTCAGCACTGTCAGAAACAATGTACATCAGCTACTGAAGCTGAATTCCCTGGATTATCTTTAGTAGGTTGTTGGGGTTTTTCTTCCCAACAATATAGGAAAAAAAGTCTCCAAAGATCATGAAAGGAAGAAACACTCAGCAAGAATCAGGAAAATGAGTACTTTGATCAAATTAATCTAGGGGTCTCTTGGGCAGGAAAGAGATGAGCCAACAACTGAGAAGGAACAGGTACAACTAAGTTCCTTTGACTCCTCAAACTCTGGGGTCTCCTTAACATATCCTGTAACATTGTTCAGTTGGCCCCTCACCCTGTATCGTGTTTCACAGCTCCAGGTTATGCCAGCAGCCTTGGCCTTGTGGGAGAGGTGCAACATAAGCGGCATTTCAGAATGACATCAAGCCCCGCTGCTGTTTTGCGGCTCACACAAGTTCCGTGACACAAAGGTGCAAAGCCGTGGAGGACAGCAGTTATCCCACAGTACTCCAGCAGCTGCTCTCCTCCTGTCCCTTGCTGCCACCCTTCACAACAGATGGAAAGAGGAATTATTTTAGGTAGAAGAGCAAGTGAGGCAGCACACTACAAGTCCGAAGCAAACTCCAGGAAGCTGAGAAAAGGAGGAAGGTCATACCTAGTATTAATAGCTTTTCCCCTGTCAGACACCCATGCTAGATGTGCTACTTTGCAATTAAAACAGGGCAACAGAACATCTTAATTAAACATTTTATTTAAACCAATACAAGCACCATGCTTAGCAAAAAAAGATTTGGTTTAAAGTAAACATGCAATGTGAACTAGCAGAGACTAAACAGCATATGGAAGTTGTACTGGTTACTGATATTTTCATGGAATTGCCAAATTCTCAAAACTGGCCGTGAACCTCTCGCACCCTTTACCATGCGCGGCACCGGTGCCAACCCTGACATGTCACAGTGGACAAGTCACATCGAGTCTGGATCTCGTAACAAAAGCAAGAGTTTCACTGCACCCCTTCTCATGTCCCATCACACCTCCATTTTGCAGTTACTAGATGTACGCATCAAAAAAAGACGTTGCACAGTATTTCTTTTTTGAGCGCGCTAAAGTGAGGAGTTGAACTCCCTTGCTTTTGCATGTTTGATCCAGACTCGTTACCAGTTTAACATTGTTTCTGGACTAGCTATTTTACAGTTAAAGATACAAAAAAGGAATCCTGGTACAAAGATGTAAGATGTTCCTTTGGAGAAGTGAAAAGGTGTCAACACCCGCATTATTGCCTCCTTTGATAGATCAAAACAGCATTTATGATACTAGAAATACATTTAAACCATCAAATACCAGCATTTAATTTTTTTTTGTTAAAAATCAAACAGTACAAGTTCATTTTATGGGCTGACATGCAGGCTCATGCTTTAATTCAGCTTACCATCGATTAATAGGATTACAAGAGCTGTATCCCAGCCATCTCTTCAATATTTAAAGCAAACCCGATTAGTTATGGCAGAAGTCTCCCTTTGAGAGACCTTTAACTCCAGGCCAAGGATTTTATGGCCAACTTACTAACTCCTGAAAAACAGGAGCTCACAATGGAAAATGCTAACTCTCAGACCTTTAGCTACAAAGGCTCCCATAGGTGGCATTAGTTAATTTATGTTTAGTTTGAACCCTCTTTAGGGATCTGGAAATTCAAGACAAATACATGATTACAGATGGGCAACTCACTAGTAAAGCACAGTCAGAACACAGTGGCCTTCTGAACATGGACACATCTGCCTCCCGCTTATCTTAAGGGGGCAGCAGTACAGAAAATACAGTTCTAAAGATAAGGTGGGAAAAGTACGTTATGAAAACAAGTATTTGTGCAGGAAAGATTTTGACATAATGTCCTTGTTTAATCAAGTATTAGCACTACCTGTATCTCAAGAGCCTAGGACAGTAAGCAGCAGACAGTTGTGTCAAAACACTGCATTAAAAAAAAAAGGAAACCACAAACAAGCCTAGAACAGCAAACATCCTCTGCATGTTCATTCTCCAAGTACCTGCAGCTGCTTCCTCACTTCCACAGCTGAGAGAAGGGAAGGAGGTACAGCCACCAAGCAAAGCTGTTTGAAGAATAATACTGGTGGGCTGAGCAGCACCAACATCACCTTCCACAAGGCAGGAGGCTTTAACACACTCATCAGGATTTGGTTGCTTTCTACAAGACCCAAGGGGCAGCACCCAGGGCAGAAAGTCCTTAAGTGGAGGCAACAAGAACGTCGGAAATGAACTGAAAAAAACTCAGACTGAAGATACAGCTGTAAGTAGCAATATTTTCTTGTCAGAAGGTGGAGTGATCTAGAGATGAAGAATCAAATTCAGTCATTTGACTGTAGCAGCTCCTCCCTTCTCTTCCCAAGACATGCCCCTTTTACAGTTATTTTTGTCAAGACCTGTGCAAGCAGCAGTTGGATGCTGGCAGCCCACCAGTGTGCAAAGTACAATGACAAAGATTATTAATCCAGTTTTTCCCCCCTGCAAATCAAGCTGAACATTACAAGTGGCAGCTTCCCTCTCACCCACACTGTACTTTGACACACCTTACCTTTAGCACAATGCCAACCAAACAAGATCCTCGCTGTTTCAAGACTGATGCTTAGAATGAAACCATTCTTTAGGCCAAAGTCTTATTTATGCAATGTTTGTCACAAAAGACATTGTTTTTATTGATCTGTAGTACAGAACAATCAAGCAACAGTTTCATAATCCACATTTTTTTTGTCCAGGGAAATGAAATTGTTTTTTCCAGTTCACTACGTTAACACAGAAATTTAATTTTACGAGCATTTCTTTCCCGCACTGAAAGATCAATTTAATTGTATCATTCCAACATGTATTTTGAAAAGCTCCTCTCAAGACAGATTTGTATACAAATAAATGAGCGGCACCATCGAACTAAAGAGAGATTTACCAACACTGAGGACCTTTGCAAATGAATTCCTTGTGATCTTAGAGGAATTAGTGTTTTAACACTAACACAGCGTACGTTTACAAATGAAAAATAAACCTCCTCTCAACAAAGGTTTCACAGCATGAAATACTGGCCTCCAAATTTAACACTGCATTCCTTCTCACCAAACAGATTTGTTAGGGCAGCTGTATTTTAAGGTATGTTATCAACAGGAAGCTGCTCTTACGCAGATACTTATTCAGTAGCACAACAAACACTCATGAGGAAGATAGTGAGATATCGTCACATGAGTACTCCTTTTGCCACTGCATGGGCTGAACATGTCCCATATCAGACAACTACTCTATTCAATATAAAACAGACCTGTAAAAAGACTGGTCATTTATAAAAGTTAAATACTATTTTTCACATTAGAATATTTGCTGTTTCAAAGAGATGAACCGTAAGTAAAATGAAAAATCAAATTATCACTTATGCAAAAGCTTTATCTGGAATGTAATTTTGACCAACAAGCAGTTAAGAAAGAGACTAAAGTACTCAAAAGCTATGTGTGGCCAACTTTTATAACAAAAGAGATATAAATCATTCATTATCATGAAAAGCTTTAACCTCCCAACTCCTACAAATGGAGTAGATGACTGGAATTTCAAAGAAAATGAGGTTAGCTTTGTCGGTGTTTTTAATAGATGTCAACTGCAACACTAGGCACTAGGAAAAAATGTTACTTGGATTCTTTAACAAAGTTTTTACCAAATTTGTAATAAGTGGCAGTGTAAAATTCTCAAGTAATTTTAAAGCTAACAAATTAAAGGCACACAGTATTAACAGGTGTTCATATAACAGGAAATGAGCAAAGAGGTAAACTTCTTAACAGTGTAATAAGTTATATATGCAAGACATCTGGTACGAGAGTAACCAGAGTTGTAATTCAGCCCTTAGTTATCATCTAGTTCCTGTAAGACTACATTAGCATGAGAACTGGACAGTCAAAGCTTTGCCCTGAAATTTAGTAAGATTGACTCAGTCATCTGAGGAATTACTGGAATTACAAAAATTAGTTCTGAGAATTTGAAAAAGTTCACATGGACTTGATGGAAAGATAAATGAATGGATTTGCTGTACAAGGATTTTGTCTTTTTAATACTAAATGCTTCCAGGGAGTAGTTTTCAAAATTGAGAAGACATTATTAAGTCAAAAGTCTGAAAAGTAAGTGACAGTACAATTTCTGCATATAAATGGCTAGTATATGTCATAAGGATGCGTTTGTAGCTCAGAAAAAGTTAGCATCAGCTTCCAAATTATGTTTGTAGATAGCTATAAATCCAGAACTGAACTATTTTAGTTATAGAAATATTAGTCACAAGAGTGCAAAAGGAGTCCCTGCAGTGGAGTATTCCCTTTTAACAGGTACAAATAAGGAAACACCTGCAAAGATTTGTTACTTCAAGGAGACAGACCTGCTATTCTTTGCACAAACTTTGCACAAGAGATATACTGCAGGAGACAGATGTAAATACAGTGCATTTTTTTAGATGTAAGTATTCATGTCTGGTTCCAGTATTATCAGGATGGTACATAAATACTTATTACAGAGGTTTTCTTAATGGAAGAAGCCCAGTTTCTCACGCAGCCATTCTTCAGTTAGGTCTTCTGTATTTCTTATTTCAAATACCTAAACAAAATTGCATTGCATAAATTCCTGAGGTGATGATACTTGAAAGGGATAAGCATACAATGCAATCAATACCCGTCCACACAAGTTGAGCTGTAATAAACCAATAACCAACCTAGAATTTCCACATGCTTTCTTGAAAGGATCGGTTAATATTCTAAAGAAACATTGGTGTAAAATACACAGGACTAAGTGCAAGGAATATTACTAACTTGGACAAGAATTCCATAATTCCTGTTTCTAGATTTCATTTGTCGTCTTTAACGACATGTGAGAACAGTACAGGTACTGCATTTTAAAGTTACTCTGAAAGAGCACCACCTCATATGCATTGTCTCAGCAAGATTGTCTATTTGAATACAAATGAATTTAACCTCTGGACTGAATTAAGCCTGGAGTTCAGGAAGTTTGCTCAGCCCAAGACACAGTTATTCCTTCTTTGAACTGAAATAAATCCATGGTATCCAGTAGCTTGTTTCTACATATGCCTGGAATACCTCAGAACAGAAAACCTGCAAACCCACCCCCCAAACCCACCAACCCAAAGCTTTGCAGAAGACTTAAACAAATCTTTAACATAGCCTTGAAGCAGAAAACAAGATCAAAGAGACCAACATACTATTTATATTCCATACAGGCAAGTAACTGTTTTGTTTTGGTTTATTAATGATGCTAAGTTAATTCTGTATTGCTAACTGGAGTCTTTGAGATGCCCACAAATGGATTATCTTTTCAGAAGTAAGTTTTACAAATCCACGGACCTTCAAAAATGTTCTTGTAGGCAATGAAAACAAGAAAAATGTTGTTACTATTCTGAGAACACTGAAAATAAAGTTATGTGAGCACTAAATCAGTTATCTGCCCTTCTAATGGTATGGAGTACATAGCTGCAAAAAGCATCCTCAGGCCAACAGAATGGATGGGGTTTTGTAAGACACATAAAACAAGCTTCTCAGTGAACCTGCTGTTTGGAATCAACTTCCTATTTAGTCATGTCCTCAGCCACTTCACCATTTTAATCTTCTTCAGGAAACAATTCAAGCTTTGTATCTTTTCTTCCTTATTTCCCATCTTTGCTGGAGTGGGCTCTGGACACTGCTTCTTGTAGTCAGACAGCGATCCACTACTATCAACTAATATTGATTTTTTTTTTTTTAAGATAAGGGAAAACCTGAAAATTCAGTGTTATAAGAACAGAACAGCTTAACAGAAGCCAAGCTAATATGCAAGACACTGAAAAAAAATAAGAGGACTCAGTTGAGTCACATGCAGAAATCGCACCAGGAGGAAGTCACAGCACGAGCTCAAATGAAACGTGGCTTAGCGAGTGGCAAGAATAAAGCACATTTGCAGAGCAAGTAAGCAACCTAAACTGGAGGACAGGCTATTTTCTCCAGCTTCAGAAGGAAGATGATCATAGACCTCTGCATCCTCTCCTAGGCTTTCATTCAAAAGCCTTTCAGACTGAATTTCTCCCACTTGACAGGTGATAGTAAATCTAATAGAGCTAGTTCCCAGGCTTTCACCTTCTTCTCATCAACTCTTCTTTCTTGCTTACTGAAAACTGTTTTCCCTCAAGAAATTCTTCCTTTCTATCAAGGATGCTAGAGTTCTCAGGCCTCTAAGATGCAGTTTCAACAGACCTAAAAAAAAAAAAGACTTCTTGGGGCTGTACTGATTGCTTCCACCATCTTATCTTCTGCTTCCCTCCTATTTACTCCTGTCAACTTGACGTCTAATTTAAAACAGAGATGTCCTTTCTTACAAGGTACAGCTAGAAGAGACAGACATTCACAGTTCTCTTACTGGCCTGACACACATTTTTACTGGGATGTTAAAGTACTCAGTCAGGATAAGGAGGACCAAAAGGGAACGGTGCTGTTGGGGAATGGTGAAGTCAACAATGAGGGTGCTGAGGCCCCGGCACAGGTTGCCCAGAGAAGCTGTGGCTGCCCCTGGCTCCCTGGCAGTGTTCAAGGCCAGGTTGGATGGGGCTTTGGGCAACCTGGGCTAGCGGAGGGTGTCCCTGCCCATGGCAGGGGGTTGGGACTGGATGGGCTTTGAGGTCCCTTCTAACCCAAACCAGTCTGTGATCGTATGAAAAACCCAAAGTGATCAATTACTCTATTTAGTTTTATTGGTTGAAACTAAAACTTTAAGAAATCTAGGTGCCAATTAAGCAGAGATTTCAAAGGTCTCTAAAATGACAATTAGGTGGCTTTTTAATATATATATTCCTAGGCCTAGTGAATGCAGTGATTTTTTTCTGGCCTTAGTACTGGAGGAAGCAAACACAGGAAGATTTAGAATCGTTCAGCACTTGGCACACGTTACTTATTCTGAAGGTTGTGTTCTGCAAGTATACAACCCCATAAACCATGCAGCAAAACTAGTCTGCACCACACCATATTAAGTCTTCAGTCTATTTTTCCCATCGATAAATTCATTCCCCAAAGACATCCATCCTACCGATGGATATTTTAGATAAAACTCCAGAAATCTCCATATATATCCCTCTCTTCAGTCTTCTTGAAACAGATTCTCTGTTCACTGTAATTACAAAGTCTCACAACATCCTTCTTGCGATAGGTACAAGCAAGACAAAATAGCTTGTGCAACCTGTATTTAAGGAGCAGACAGTTATTTCAACTAGTCAATTATACCTTAGTGAGTTCAGCTGTCTGTACAAGCTTATTCTTGCTTCCAGCATACATCATCTGCTGTTCAGGCTTACATCCTGTAGTTGTGGGGAAAAAAAGAGGTTTTGTTTAGTTGTTTTGACTGCAACACTTCAAAAGTAAGATTTTTTTTTTAAAGAATGCAAACTGAAAGCTGATGTCTTCATTCAGAAAAGTGACCTATTTCTTTATATACATTATCATCCTCACTCTTACTTTCATATCTAGTACTTCTGGAAATGCTTTCCAAGTAATAGTTGTGCAAGTTGAATTGGCAGTCTCAACATGCACCTGTATTTCTGCTCAGAGACAACATCAAGTATTGCAAACTTGAATTAGTCAACAAAGCAGCACCTCCCACCACTACTGTAGTGTGCTGATTACACTCAATTCTTTGCCCCTTTGCTATTTCTGGAAGATTCCTGTGTCTTTGCTAGTTATGCTTACACAGATCTATACAGAATATGCCTTTGAGCTGGAGTCAAATTGAAAACAAATCAAGTCAGTTCAAATTTGTTGTATTTTCTCCTATCTCTCCCCAAATCCCCCAACTGAGCTTGTAGCTCAAAATAACTCCCTGCCCCCAGTCCAAAACACAGAGCAACTTCAGTCCCAGTTGAAGTTAACTGCTGTTTAGAGTCCCAGTTCATTGTTTCTGACTCCAGTATCAGTCTAACCACTAACTTATATTTGCAGAAATTTTTTTGAAACTGAAAACCTCAAGAAAAAAAGCTTTTCTTTAGAAGCTTCTCATTTAGAAGTTTATAGATACGAGCATACTTTTAAATCGTGCCAACCATAAGAACGTTGTCTAAGCTCTCTTTCCC